GCGATGTCCCTCCCCAGACCCCAACCCCGACCCATCTGGGCGCCTGCCCTGCCCTGCATCCCTCAGGGGGCGGGAGACAAAGAGGGGGGTCGTCAGGCTCCCACAACCCTGCCAAGAGGCCACCCCAGCCCGTCCTACAGACCAGGAGGAAGCGGAGTCCCTAACAACCGCGGAGAGGGAGGGAGCTGGGATTCCGCCCCGGGCCTGGCCTCCGCCTGGTGCCAGCGCCGGCCTCACCTTCTCGGGGTGGAAGAGGATGTTCGCCAGCCCCTGCAGGCTCAGCACCCGCACCGCTGGGCTGGGGTCCCTGATGCTCTGGGCCAGCACCATCAGGGCATCCGGTTCGGGGAGCACCTCCAGCAGGGCCGGGCTGTAGAGGAACTGGGGGCCCCCCAGGGCAGGCAGCTCGGGCCTGGCCCCCTGGCCCCTCCAGGGGTGGGCTCTAGGACCAGGGGTTGGTAGGGGTTCTGAGGGGGGCGGTTGGCCAGCACCCTCTGGGTATCCTGGTTAACAAGTATTGGAAACTGGCCTCCAGGCGGGTTCGACCCTTCGGGGTGTAGCTGGAGAAACTGAGGCTGGGAGGGGAAAGGGCTTTGCCCGAGGCCTCACGAGCAAGGCCGGGGCCAGCATCCCTCACGCCTGCCCCTGGGGCCCCGGCACAGAGCCCACAGAGGGTGATGTTCCTGCCAGCGGAGGGGGGGGCGGGGGGCGGGAGCGGCCCAGGCTCAGATCTGGTCCCCCTCCCAGTGTCCTCATAGGAATGACACGCCCCCCTCGGCACTGTCCCCAGCTCACAGCGGCAAAGGCGGCCTCCCCGCGCCTGTCTGCTTCCAACTGCCACCTCCAGTGTCACAGTCGCAGGGGGAACTGGGTCCGGGAGGGAGGGCGAGGACGGGCAGAACTTCCGGCCAGGGGTGCCCGACCTACACTCTGACCTCAGCCCTGCAGGGGGCCTGGGAGGGAGGACCCAACCAGGAGCCCGTGTGGGAAGGAGGGTGAGAGGGGGCTGCCCCTCATCGGGGCGAGGTCCTGGCGTGGGTCCTGATGGGGCGCCGAGGCAGCTGGAGGCGGGTTCTGGCCTGGCAGAGTGCCCCTGCCCGCCCACCTACCTCATTGAGGATGAGGATGGCCACCTTCCTCGCCCGCTCCTCCCGGCTCTGCAGGCTGGGCAGCAGTTGGCTGGCCACGGCCTTGATCTGCCTGCAGGGGCTCTGCACCATGGCCCTGGGGGTGGGGGTGG